CTAACACGAGGGATCACGCGGTGATCAAGGTCAAATCAGGAGTGACTAAAGAAAACGTGTTCACACAGGGTCGAAAAGGGATAATTGGGAGGGGGAACAACAGTGGTCACGCCTCGGACCGAGAAGAGGGATTTTCTTCACTCTCTGGTTTCTACAAACCTCTCAGGATCGTTTCAGGAATGGAGCAAACGTGATGAGCTTACGAGCTGTAGAAGGGGAGCCCATATTTACTACGAGGCCTTGGGGAGTTTTTCTTTTCTTTGGAGTAAGCCCGGAGCATATTCCGGGCTTGAAATATTTCGTATCCAGATGTTTCAAGATTAACTTATTCATTTCCTGAGGGGTTAAAGAGCTCAGGAAATGTTCCCAAAAGATAATTCTTTTCGAAGCAGTCGCGTCTGCCTGTAACATTCTTGCTGTATCTAGTATTTGCAGCTCGGAGACTTTGATCGCTTGGTCTGCCACCAAGTGAACTGGGGAGTTCAACATGAGGGTTTTGAGTTTGGCGACCTGGTCTTCGAGAGCGTTAACTTCAGCCTTCAGCCTCCCTAGATCTAAGGCCTGTTCCTGAATGATACCTAGCATTTCGGCCTGTGAAAGAATGTTATCCATGACCATCACAGGCTCATCTAACCTCATCGGGTTAGTGTCCTCGTAGGAGGATCCGAGAGACGTTTTATCAGCCATCAAATGGTTGAACGGTATAATAAAAATATTTTACGGGTCGGAAGGAAATAATTGGAGCCGAGTAAGTATAAAACTTGTGGCAAAAGAAAAACGTATAGCGAGGTTAAACTTTGAACGTACCGCTTCCTAGGCAACGCCCCTCAGGACTAATAGGAACTTACCATCAAAATGTTTCAGAGAGGGCAGAAGCCCAACAGTCATCTAATACCCTCTTGAAGGCTATAGCGTTCGAGTAACTTATCACATTTTCGGGTAGACAATTCCAGTAAGGTATTACGTGACCTGTAAAGAATTTGGCTCGAATGTCCAGCCTTACAAGACTACGTTGCAGCCTTAAACTATGTCCTCTTGTGCCGTTTGGGGGAATGCATTGGAACATACCATCAAACTTATGTCCAGAGAGACCGTTCATGATCTTAAAGCCTTCTATGAGTTCCCCCTGACTCTATTTCCTGCCAGAGAGAACAGATTAAAGTTCTTGAGTCTCTGCTCGTGGCTCTTACCTCTTTGTTCTACCACCATCCTTGTAGCCAGGCAGAAAGCAGGTTGCCCATGCCTGAACACAATATTCCAAGGCCTGACGATGGCTTTGTACAAAGGGACAAGAACATCGGGTCTCCTACACGAAATCGTGGAGTGTACACGAAAGAGTTCCCTTCGAGCTATGTTGGCTGCTCTCTGATATTGTTGATGGGGTTTGAAGTCGTAGGGCATAATTACTTCCAGGTCCTTCACTTCCCTCTCTTAAGCTGGAAATCATTCTATATGTTTAGTTTAGCTTTTGCTGTTAAAAGCTGACATTTAGCTAGGTTGAGCGGATGATCCCACTTTTCGGACCACCATATGACAGCCTGCAGGTCCTGACACACTTTCGCTCCAGCCACCTTGAAGTCGTTGACGAACATTTGATCATGCCTTGTGCATGTAACACGAGCTTCGAGAAATATAGACCTATTATTATTATTTATTGCTTGCATTCTTTTGCGTCATTTTGGCACGTATTCGTTGTAACAATCGGAAGAACTGAAAGTTCCTCTCAGTTATCTTGCACTTTCTTATCTTCCTTCGCCATTCTATCGTGCATGCTTTCCGACAGTGGTTATCATGTCGGAGAATTTTCTATTCTGAACCCTCTATTTCAACTTTTTTACGGTGAAGCATACCTATTGCACAAGACAACTCAATCTTATCCGTTGTCCTCTGTGGCACATGCTAACCAGGTAGCTATGTACACTTTCCTAACAGAATATCACCAATACACGAAACCAGCCTCAAAGCTGGATTCGTGGAACACAATCCTGTCTGGTTCGTACTTTCACAAGTAATGTCACGTAATGTTCCGTAATTGACATATTTCTCGAACTGTTATGAATCAATCCTATCCGTCCTCGTTAGTGACACATCCTAACCAGGTAATTGTGTACCTTTTCTTAAACCAGTACTACCAATACACGAAACCAGCGTCAAAGCTGGATTCGTGGAACACAGTCCTGTGTGGTATATATTGTTACATGTTTTGTGATTTAATATTCTGTAGTCGACTCCGATACCCCATCATTTTAGTACAACTTTCTTGGTGTCCACTCATTTTTTCCGCCGCATGCTCCGTTTCCCGCTCTCCTTCCTCTTCTTTACCTGGGTACTACCGAGACTTCTGCATATCGCCTCTATGTTTCAGATTCGGTTCTCTTGGGCCTGTCAAAGGCTTGGGGTCCTCACCTGCAATGGACAATTTGGCTCCGGCAATGGTTGTTGGGCACGACTGTTTCCACCGTTTTGACTACACGCGTCCGCGTTCCGGACCAGGTTGAGGATCACACCCCTTGCCTCACCTACAAGGTGTTTTAAGGTAGGGTGCCTCGCGTGTAGTCAGTCCCACATCAAAGCGACCAACGCCTAATTAATCTAAATACACCAAACCACTCGTGATTGATTGAAGCTCCGAACCCAATGAACTTGTCTCCAAAAGTGAGTTGTATTGCAGCATTGAGTGAAACATGTTTTTTTACTGAAGTATTATTTTGGCTGTATTCTTTCCTTTCTATTCCTGTCCTCTTACCTCTACCATCGGGCAGCATTTTTTTCACAGACCTCTTCTTCGTATTTCCCACACTTTTGCCCTACGCCCAATCCCTCCGAGACCAGCTTT